CATCACCGAACAGTACTAAATATGTATGTCCAAAACAAATAAAAATAAAAGGTAAAACAAAACATTTATTGACTATGTTCTCGGGCAAAATGTGTTTTGTCGACACTCAAACCAAACTGTCTGCCTGAGGGCGTTGTTTGGTTCTTGGGTCCGATTTAATGCATGTTGCCCTCGAACTCAGTCAATAAATTGTGTATATTGTTAAACCAAAAGTTAGTTTAGTAAGGTTCAGTGAATGGATTCCAGTAAATGTTCAACCAAGCCTCCTTCTCTACTCCATACTAACATATAAACAGAAGTGAAGGAGAAACTTGAAGAGTACTGTGCAACAATTTATTCGAGAAGTAGTGTAAATCAGATGTGGATACTTAAAAATTCGAAGGAACTTTTGGACAGTTTGAAATCACAATATTTCACCAAAGTCAACAGCTTAAAAACATACGACTTCTTCAACTTTATACACCACCATTCCCAAAGATTATTTAAGGTCCAGACTTTTTTTATATCGCTGAATCTGCTTTTTTAATGAAAATGGAACTCGAAAATTTACTAACCTTGTCATTGGTCATTTTCAAAATTATTTTGGTAAAAAACATTCTGATGGTACATTCAAGTACTCTGAAGTTGACATCAAAAAGATGCTTGATTATCTAATTGACAATATCTATCTGTTTTTAGGAGACCAGGTCTTCCAACAATATATTGGAATTCCCATTGGTATCAATTGTAATTGTGCCCGCTATTAGCAGACTTATTTTTATATTCACATGAAGCAGAATTTGTTGAAAATCTTAAACGTGAAAAGAAGAAAATATTTGCTGTGGCCTTCAATTCGACATTTAGATATATCGACGGCGTATAGATAGTTTTCGATGGACCTAAATTTAGCAAGTTACTTCCCGTTGGCCGCCATATTGGAGGTCCAAATGCTCATATTCCTTCATTGTTCAACCAATTTTATATTTTTATATTTGCTAGTTTGAATTAGGAATGATCATTTTTCAGAAGTATATAAATTTTTGGAAGCCTCCTTTATTTAAAAAAAAATATTTGATAAAGATTTTCCACCAAATATTTCTGCTATGTTGCCTTAAACGTGGTAAGACAAAGAGGAAAACTCACCAAGTCGATCTCCAATATGGAGGCCGACGGGAGGTAACTTTTGCTAAATTTAGTCCCATCAAAAACTATCTATTGTCAGTTACTAATAATTATTTCCACTTTTATGTCGATACGATATATCCTGGTGAGCTTCAAATAATAGATACCACACAGTCTGACACATCTGTTTCATATGTGATATTTTACTTAAAAAGAGACGTCAATGGTTATCTAACAACCAAGCTTTATAATAAACGTGGTGATTTTAACTTTTCAATTGACAACTTCCCTTACTTATGTAGTAATATACCTCCATCGCCTGCATACGGAGTTTATGTTTCTTAGTTGGTTCTATATCCACGAGTATGCTCTAAGTATGAACAATTTCTAAAACGCGCTGAATTATTGTTAAATTAGTTGATAAAAAAATATCTGCTGTCTCATTTCAAGTCATTTCGTAAGTTCTATGTTCGATACAATGACCTTGACAAGAAATACAATTTATCATTGAGTATTGTCATCCGAAGCAAATTGGATGTTGGGCGGGGATGGGGGTGGGGTTAATGTTTGTGATCTTTATATATTTCTTCATGGAAGATTTACGTTAGCATATTTTTTTTACTTAATTAATCTATCAAAAGAATGTTTTTTCTTTTTTTTTTTTAGATTTTCAATATTGTCAAATTATTATAAATAGACTGATAATGAGATATAAGATTGTTTTGTGTCATTCTTTCTTATAATTAAATTGAAGTTATCAACCGAATCTGTTGATTAAAAAAGAAGACATTTTTAGTGCATTATGTATGTATAACTCCCCTTTTAACTTACATTTGTGAAGTTCCGGTGGAGTCCATTTCACAAGTTGGAATGAAAAGTTTCAGGTGCTATAAATAGTTTACTTTATTTTATGACAAGGAGCACATGGCGGGTGTAACTGGTCGGCAGGGGATGCTCACACCTCCATGGCACCTGATCCACCTCTGAAGTTTTGGAGATCCTTGTCTGCTTTGCTTCTATTTTGTATCGTTTTATGGATTTTTGATCTTGAATATTGTTCGCTTTATCGATATATCTGTACATGTATAGTCGTGTAAAATTTTTATGTGGGAATTCATTTTGTTGCTAATTGTTAACAACGAATAAAACAAAATTAAGCCTTCAAAGAATATTTTTCTGATTTTACAGTATATTAATTTAAATAAAGCTATGAATCTGAATAGGGGATAACCTAAGTATTATATCATGATTTCACTTTCTTATTTTGAAAATTGGGATAAATTCAGTTGCAGAATTTAAGATTTATTTAAAATTCTTTTGTTTTCTGAATACAGGAAGAGATTTTAATACACTGCGGCACTGTCTGTCCAAGGTTTGTGTACTATGCATTGTTCCCTTGTGTGTCACTATTATTTTGTTAAACGTAGATTAATACTCTACAATTAAATGCAGAGTCCACAGAAGCCAAAGTCATCCTAAGTGAAATGATTGATGATAAGTGTAATGATTTTGTAGGGGAAGCATTATATGATGAGAGATATGATGATTACTGTGATGATTTTGTAGGAGAAACATTGTATGATGAGAGATATGATGATTACTGTGATGATTTTGTAGGGGAAGCATTGTATGATGAGAGATGTACTGCTGAAGAGATCTGTGGATGTTTATATTGTTATCGTCATTAACACAGACAGCTCTACTCCAGAGGTTCTCAAGTAAGTCCTTAGGAACAGTACTAACTCTTCCTATACTTGTTCATTGTTACTCTTCACCTGGCGTATTACAGTTCTGAAGGTAACAAAAGTCTTCAAAACATTAAACACACAAAAATTGTGGAATTATATAATCATCAGGGAAAGGAAATTAGATATTCGTGAAAAATTGCACATACACATGTATTTAATTATATATTATGAATACCAACATCTTGAGAAAGATGTATTTTGCAATTTGATGAGTTGAAGGATTAAAATTCTAATTTCAGGAGAATTTTGGGGAAGATAAAGCCACAGAATACAAGTATAGAATCCCTGAGGACGTAGTTTGTGGTAATGTTATTGTACAAGTGACATATAAATATTTGCTATTTTTGAGTCGTAATGTATGTCCATTGCTTCATTTTAAAATGATTTTTAGAGCAGTATTATTCATTTTATCTTGCAGAAACTATCACAGCGGGCAGTGGTGGTGTGAAGGACAGGAAGAACTTCCGTAAGGCTTTCTATGAGAGAGTGCAGAAAGGTCAGGACAGGATGTGTTGGTTGTCGAGCTCCCAGTTAGACGGGAGTACCACGGAACAGTACCAGGACTATCTAGGGAGTGAGAGTACCAGACAACAGAACCAGTCCCAGGACAGCAACAACGAGGTCAAGCTGTTACGTTCCTCCTCCACACCCATGTAAACCAGCTGTTACAACTAACCCCCCAAGGAATTATACTGTATAAACCAGCTGTTACAACTAAAGCCCCTAGGAATTATACTGTATAAACCAGCTGTTACAACTAAACCCCTAGGATTTATACTGTATAAACTAGCAGTTACAACTAAAACCCCTAATATTTATACTGATAAACCAACTGGAACAATTACTATCCTATTATTTATAATGTATTAACCAGATGGAACAACTCATCTTCTAGTTTATTATATACTTTTTAAAACATATGTTACCGCTAAACCCCTAGGATAATTACTGTGTGAATCAGCTGTAAAACTAAACCCCTAGCATAAACCCACGGTTACAACAACCTCCCCTAAGATATATAAACCATGTAAACCAGCTCCTTAGTGTGTATACATACTGTGTACAGACTACTTTTCTCGTAGGCATCATTGTTTTAGTGCAAGCTCTATGTTGACTCTTTATGTAATATACTATAGTATGATATTTCATTGTGAATTTCATGTCATTTAATTAACTTGGGTGCCTTTTTATAGTATTACTTGAACAAAATTGATTAAATAAGACTCAAACTTTTTAATTGTCTGTACAACTAATTGGTTCAATATTGATCTGGAATTTAAAAGCTCCTGGTGTGGATCTTTTTAATTTAGTCATTAGAATGCAGTTTTCAATTTAAGATCTGTTTAGACTTTTTAAGATAGGGTCCTTTATTTCAATATGTTGTATTTAATTTTCCACATATTTGTCTCAGCTTTAACTGTGTGTTAACTGTTAATTACTGTTGATCCACTGGGTAATATGAAAGCCAGTAGTGGTTGCTTATTATTGTTCAATTTTTCCATAGATTATTTCTGATCTTAGGATTTTCAAAAAATATTTCTAGATCAGTTGACACTTTTGTAAACTTTAACTTTTACACGTACATGTGTATTTTAAGAGATTTTGAGAGTTGTTCTGTGTTGTAGTATGTATAGATACAAGGTTGATGAAATGTAAGATCTGGTAATGCTTATCTGTCCATAATGTTGCTGTATTATGGCCATCTGAGTCAGACCTAGTGTCTTTGTTTCTTCCATTGTTATGCATCAAATACCACCTGTTAAACCTGCGAAATATTTTAAACATCTCTGACTCTGTAGAACAAGTCTCATATTCAAACACTAACCTTTAAAATCTTCCTTAATTGTAGACATCATAATAGCTACACATTGTGGAATTCCATTTCCCAGGAATCCAGTTCTAGGTGCTCTAGGTAGGTCAAAGTAACACATATTTTTTTTGCTAAGATGTGATGAATTTGATTTTTTAGCTCACCTGAGCCTTTATGAACCAATGGCTCAAGTGAGATTTTTCGTCCCTTATCTATCATTTTTGTCTTAATTTTTTTTATATAACCATCTTCTTCTCAAAACCATTGGGCTGTTTTATGTGTTTCAAGGCGATTCAAGTTTGTTCATTCGAAAGGCCCACCTACTTGCAAGAGGAGACAAAATTTGTCAAGAACCAATGTTTTGAAAATATGAAACTTATATGAAATTATAGGGGTAGTGAAAATTCAAATTTATTCAAATCATGATCCCTGGGGGGTAGGATGGGGCCAAATGGGAGATCAAAGTTTAAGCATAAGGATACAAAAGGAAAAAAAATAAAATCTTCTCAAGAAGTACAATGTCATGATTGTTCATAATTATATGGAAGCATCTCTAGGAAGTAAAGTTTCAAATTTGTATTAATCATGACCCCTGAAGGTAGGGTAGGCTGAGATCACAATGAGCTATGAAAGATTTATATAGGAATACATGTAAGGCAAATTAACGAAATCTTTTTGAGAACAGCACGGCTGTGATTGATCATATTTATACTTTTCATTACTGGACTGATTAATGTTCTGCATTTTCGTAGCAAAAGTGCTCATGCGAGCGGTGTGACCCTTGGACCTGTTGTGATATTACTGTATACTGATGATTGCTTTTGCTTTTCTTGTAAATTATTGAGTCGATGCTTTTGGAAGATAGATCTTAAGGACATATGCAAGGTACCTTACCTACTGAAATTTGTTTTAAGATATTCTAAATTTAAACTTAGAATACCATTACATGTTCTTAGACAAAAAAAAAAAAACCCAGCATGCGTTACCAGGGGTTTTGAAAAGATATCATATTGTGAAAAATGTTGCATAATTCAAAGAAAAATGTACAGTCTTACCAAACATAAGATTTTTTTCATCAAAAATGGTTTTAGAGGAGGTGTACAAATCCATATTTGGATATTAAAAGCATTGCACACAGGTCCTTTATGTAGTGGGACTCTTCAACCCCAGGGAGAACCCAATAAAGTTCGAACTACGTTGCGTATGACCTTAAGCTAATCATGCATTTAGCACAATGAAAAAATTCAATCTATTGTCCTCTATTGATAAACATAACAATATATAATTTATCCACTTGAATTCTTGGTAGAGTAGATTGCAGCTCTTATAATTAGGTTGTACACCAAGAAGAATTTTGTGCCTTATTGTAAATATTTATTTCTTGTAAATTTTTATTCTTTAAGCTGATTATTAAATACACGAATAATGATTGTCACTGCCTTTATAATTCCAGATCTCACTTTTGTGAAAATATAGTAGAAAAATACTGATTAACATATAATACATCTAGATCTTGTATTTGCCAAAACATTTAAATATTCATTTTGAGTATGAACACAAAAACTGTTTGCCATCAAGTTGTTTGACCTGTTTTACGGTGGATGTTTTTTTTTTAAATTTTATTTTATTTATTTTTTTTTACAATAATTGGTGGAGGTTATGTCAGTCTGCTGGATCCTAGTATCTAAAGCTTGTGGTCTGTAAAGTTGAAAAAAAAGTTTTCAGTCATAAAAAATTACCTCTGTAATAGTTGTAACTAGAATCATTTTGTGAAGATGATTTAATTCTTGCTCTATGATGTATGATCTATTCATAAGTTTTGTTCTTTATGCAATTGTTCTTCTTTGCTATGTTGCCTTTTAGAGCAAAACTAGGCCCTTGAGGCAAGTGTTTTCTATACATGATTCTTTCTCAATTATTTGTGGTTTTTTTCATTTACAATAGTAAAAAGTTGGTAGTTTTATGAATAGAACATAATACTTAAAATTAAACAGCCAATATTGTTATTTACAAGTTAGCAGATTTTAAGCTGAAGAATCCGACATGTATCATTATCATCATGTTTTCATGGAGTTCAGGAAAATAATTTATGATATATACATATTTCAGATATAGACTTCCATTGTTTAAAAGTTTTTTTTTTAATTATGTACAATTGTCAGCATTTTACATTCCAAATATTACTTCAATTTCAAAAAAAATTACATGGTCTGAATACCGAGTATCTGAAACGTAATCCTCCATCGTGTTCATGTTCTTTTTCAGCCTATAACGTACTATAGTCCTGCTGGACACGTTATTACTGGTGACGTAAATATAGTTAATAATGAGGACCTTAGATTACTTATATTAAAAGGTCCTTAAAATAGGGAACCCCGATCGATCCTTCAACCGGCGTCGGAATTTCATAAATATTATGGATTCTGTTGAAAATTACGCCAGACGATGGGCCAGATATAAAAAAGAAAATGTTGGCACTTTGTCAGAATGGATTAAATGTATCAGATTCATGTTAAATTCGCATATTAAAAGATTGAGGGGCAATATGAAAACCATCTATCCTTCTGTGTTCAATTATGCAGAAGTGAAAAAAAGAATTAGATAGATTACATAATCAGTACATAATGGTCCCTGCCGACAAAGCAGGTAACAACATTGTCTTTGTTTGTAAGGCTCATTATATGAATTTTATTTTGGTAGAACTTGGACTGAATTCTACAAGTAGTAATCCTACTTATACTCATACTTCTCTTTCAAAGGAAAAAAATTCTTCAAAATTATATGTCAATTTAAAATATTTTTGATATTCCACTGAGCCAAAATGAATTTAAACTACCGTAAGGCTATATATATATGATTTCGAAACTTCATAAAAACAAAACAAAGATACATTGCAGGTTCCATTAAATGTTCAACCAAGCCTATTTCGTTACTCCTCACAAAGATATTGACAGTAGTGAAGGAAAAACTTCAAGAGTACTGTGCAAAAATATATTCAAGAAGAGGTGTGAATCAGATGTGGATTCTCAAAAAGTCCAAAGAACTTTTGAACAATTTGAAACACCAAATTTTTACCAAAATCAACAGCTTAAAAACTTACGATTTTTCAACTTAATACTCAAACATCCCAATGAGAAACTAAATACTAGGCTTTTTGATATCATCGACAGCTGCTTTTTCAATAAAAATGGAACTTGTAAATTTAATAACCTGGTCATTGGTCATTTACAAAATTATTTTCTTAAAACATATTCTGATTGCACACACAAGTACTCTGAAGTTGACATCAAAAAGATGCTTGAGTTTCTGATTGACAATTTCTTTGTGGTTTTTTGAGACCAGGTCTTCCAACAATCTATTGGAATTCCCATGGGTATCATTTGCGCTCTGTTATTAGAAGACCTTTTTTTGTATTCATATGAAGCAGAACTTGTGCAAACTCTTATGCGTGAAAAGAAGAAAATACTTCCGCTGGCCTCAACTCCACATTAAG